GCAAAGGAGCGCATACAACACTTTTTCTGCCTTTATCTCGTTCAAATGCGAATTTATCGATTACCAGAGTGTTCTAAATTGTCGTAAAATTGTCCTGACCCTTTCGATTCTCATATCAGAGCCTTCGATAATTATATACCGATCGAAATATGTGAGCTCGACGCCATTTTGGTTCTGATTTGGGCTGAGTTAAACATTTTTTTTTTTAAATCCAAATTTTGAATGTGTCAGGACAATTCTTAGATGATCAGGAGTGACGTGTCAAGGTTTCGGACAGTTTGGTCTAATACCCTTAAAAAAAAGTGTTTTATTCAAATCGACTGATTTGAAGGATGTTTCGCTTCACCTTAAGAAATTAAATCCCGGGTGATCCAGATCCCCGAGGACCCCCGCGAAGAAGCGAGGACCTATGAATTTCGTTCGTGGGAGTCCGCCCCGGCGGCAATTTAAATTTCAAACTCGATTTGGATTTGGGGATTCGAATTGAATTGGGAGTCGGGAAAAGTTGTAAAATTGAAGGCATAAAGGCGGGTCGGCGTTAGTCGGACGCGGGGCTCCCGTTAACTTCCTTCAGAGACAGGAGCAGAGGGCACGGCCGGTGTTTCGAAGTCAGTCCGACGCGCGGAACTCGGTGGAATCAGGCCCGAACAACGGACAATACTTCCGAGGGAGTCTCTCCAGGACCGTGGACTAACTTTCCCGGAGTTAGCCCGTGGACGGCTCCGGCGATACCCTCAAAGGAGCTCGTAAAACTGGACGGACGCACCGGAATTGTCATGAAGCGACCCCCTAGAAATTCCTTCGGGGGGACCCTCTAACAGTTCTTTGTTCCTCGCGACCGGATACCCCGAGGAAGACTTCGGGGAAACTTCCCCGGCGAACTCTTCCGCATCCGGTCCGAGTGTCGAATTCGCGATGATCCGCTCGACCCTAGCCGAGGGGTTATTCGCTGAGGAAATCATGGATTTTGTTCGATGGATGACTCGATGGACTCATGGGTCTTGGATTAATATTTCCCTGAAAATAATTAAAGTGGCGGTAATGGATATTTGCATGTCGGGAAATTTCTGTACCGGTGAAAGGAAATCATGGATTTTGTTCGACGGATGACTCGATGGACTCATGGGTCTTGGATTAATATTTCCCTGAAAATAATTAAAGTGGCGGTAATGGACATTAGCACGTCGGAAAATGTCTGTACCGGTGAAAGGATTTCGCATTACGCGTAAACTTCTGGAATTGGATTTTAACTAGCGAGGAAATCCCGGTCGATGTAATCGATTAGCCAATTAGGCCAAAGGAAATGTGCCGATGCCGTCGAAATAGGACGAGGAAATTAGGACCTTGCGCATATCCTCGATTACGTGAAATCCTGCTTGTCTAAATACGGTTTACCATATTAATGAACTATGTATGACGTTAGGGTATTAAAAGCAAAAAAAATGTTACGCTCTCTCCTGACACGTCGGTTTTCACAAAACCGAGTAAAAGGATCTCGAATGCATACCACGCGAAGAGCGACCAACACGATCTAATAATAGTTTGGTTATCTACTTTGGTGGTAATCTCCTCCCGGTAGCTACAGTAGGAAAACCAACGAGGCTGTTCGTTATCCTTTGGATCGGTGCATGGAATTGCATGGGATCACCGGATGCGATTCAGCGTCATGAACATTTCATTCTGAATTAATCTATAATGGGAGGCCGAGAGGACTATTTTGGGAAATGCCCGAATGCGTGATAGCCCATCCTATTTTCTGTACGACCCACCTTCGCATCCGCTCACCTTTCCCCTGCGAGTTTCTATCAAAACATGGATTAATTCCAGTCTCCAAATAAAATGCCATCCCTCAAAATGTCACTATACAAAAATACTAGAAAATCAGCATCTTCGCAGGGATCGCTATGTCGATTGCGTGGTTCAATTAATGATTGCAGGAAACTTATGCACCGTAGAGAAAACCAGTACAGGACTTTTCGATTCCTTTTCCACCAAGCGCTGTAGAAAACCGTACCCACCATGTCTGGTACACCCTGTGTATGATCTAAGCGTTGTAATTCGTGGATAATCCGGGCGGACTCGATACGGTCGCGGCATTTCCGATTATTAGAGCGATCCGCGCGCCGTGGCGACCTGGGCGGGACTGGCGCGCATTAAACCCGACCGCGAAAGTCCCCTCCGAAATAATTCCGTCGATCGGCGATCCTTGATTAGCGTCGACCGGCTCTACCGCGTCCGTAATGTCTACCCCCGAGTCTCGCCGTTTCCATTGTCCGGGTCTCTCTCGGCTCTTTCCTCTCTTCGCGCTCCGCACACCACTGCGTTTTGTGCCCTCTACCTCCGACAACGCGCGGACGGCCGAACAATCGGCGTCCCCCTCCTCTGCCCCCGTAATGTCTGTTAGTTATTACGCGCCATTACCGCGCCGGCTGAAACGTAATTGTCAGCTCGCGCCTCAAATTATGCACTCCGCTAACGACTCGCCGCGTCGCCTCGTGTTACGCGTGTTTTCGCCTATGTGCCCGCCGAGTGCGTCGGGTCGACCCTAGAGGCCAGAAGGACAGGAACCCTTGACCATCGAATCATAGCCTTGGCCTCGGGGCGTCTAAACATTGTCTAAACATAGGATTTAATTTTCCATTCATTATTAATACGCCGTCCAGGACGGAGTCTATAATTAACACTATATTGCCGGATGCTGGGTATATACCTATTTTGCCTGAAATGAGTCAATTTGACTGAAACATCAAAATTGAGTTAAAAAGAAAAATAATAAAACTTTATTTTAACGAAACTTTATTCAAAACAATTATTACGTATATATTCAGGAAGCACTCTTTACAGTACCAAGTATAATATTTCATTTGAAGTAGGAAGTTGGCCCTGAGACGTCTTTGAATTTGGTATGACCGGGAAATCTACTAGTATTATTACCATCTTTCAATGTTTTCCATAATGTCCCATCAGCAGTCCTTTGTGTTGAAATTTCTTCATTATCGGATCTATCCGCAGGGTCTAATTCACTTTCAGTTTCAAAATCAGGAATATATCGTACTCTTTTTTTTGCCAAGAGTTATATAGCGATCACTATCACTGGCACGTGATTCACTTTCACTTTATTAGCTTGATTCTCTATTTCATATAGTTCAGTATCAGATGCATCGGATTCGATATGTGATTGGTTTCCTCTTATTTGGATCAGATTTTTTCCCAATTCAAGATCTCTTACATTTTTTGTCATAATAGCAACCCTTATCTAGAACTAAAATATTTATTTACATTTACGTAAATACATCTTATAAATAAATTCTGAAATTACCTTCGTACGCAAAAATTCTTCGAGAATAATTTAAAAAATTTATTTCTTTTTTGTGTTACTAAAAATGCATTATTCTCTCCGATGCCATAAATCGAAATGGAAGAACACAAAGAATTTCTTATCAGAGCTTTCATATAAGAGCCTTCAACAAAAAAGACTTGCAACAAATAATTTCACAATATTGAATGTGCAAATTTGCAATAGATATCTAACTAGTAAATTGACAAGTTTGATAAACTATCGAATCAGATTGTTTACAAAAAATTTCTATGGCCAAGAAATAAGTTACATGTGGGTAAAACGACCAACTTTAAAAATATTTAATGAGTCAATTTGACTCACATCCGTCAAAATAGGTATAGCACATATGGATTTTTGGAACTAAGGAGGGGGGAGAGGAAGAAATCAGCATTTGTATACATTTTATAATTTTATTAAAAACAAACATATGTTTTAAAAATAACTTATTTAAGTTTTTCTATATATATATATATATAGCAATAAAATTGTAAATGAGTCAAATTGACTCGTTCCGGCAATCTAGTGTTAAGCGTTCTGATTATGGCTCATGCCATGGCGCCATGTTACGGATTTTTGCCCACGGCCGCCAAGTTCGTGGGTGAAAAAAAAAAAAAGGCTGTCAGAAGTCGAAGAAGCTTTAGCCCTGCATATGCAACTCGGGATAATAATAAAAAAAAAAATGAATAAATGAAGATCCTCCGTAATTTAATTCCTAATGACCATTTCCTGATGAAGTAACTCCTCTTCGAAAGTATCACGTGGCGGATCGGAAACGAGAGATCCCTTTAATGAAATTTCCCGCGGAAAAGTCTAGTGCCTTGTTTCCTTTTATCAGTAATTCCGAAGGCCGCACCGTCGATATTAATTTTCTCGGTGTTATTAAGGCGTCGATTATGTAGCTCTTAATTAACCGTCGGCAACGGAGAACGCCACATCTTTAATAATAAGGGGATTATGGAGTCTGGAGAGTTTTAAGTGGATCATCCTTTACATTTCCTAGGGACCTTCTTTTACGCAGATCTATGTACCGGTATGCAAAGCAACGCAGCCACCTGCACAATCTTAAATAACATTGTAAAATAGCCGCACATACGTGGAAATGGATGCTCGGCCTCAAAGGAGTCGTCCAAAAATGAGTCGAGTAGGTACGTAGGGCTTTTGACGCCCTTTTATACGATTATTCCCCTTTTACCGAGCCCCTTTTACCAAGTCCAATTTTTTAAATTTCCTCACCCGCACTTGGAAAAAGTAGCCGCGCACTCGGTACCAAATCAAGCAACAAATTGGATCAACGAGTAGAGGATTCGAAGCGGAATTAAAAGATGCAACGTTAACTTTAAAACGTAATGCCGCATCCCACAAATCTTGAAAAACGTCCTCGAAGGAGTTACCCTGAGGTGCGGAAGATTCCCCGGTAATTCCGGCTTATCCGGAAACGCGGAAGCTCGGAATAATAATTTAGCAATTTTTACTAGGCACTGTACGCAATGGAGGAGGAGGGGAATAAAGTACGGTACTCCAGTGTGTAGTCAAAAATGTTATATTTACATAGAAACGTCTAACACAACGTGGAAACATTATTGCGCATCGCCGAGTAACACAGGGCAACGTAATAAATAATTCCTTAAATACCACGGTACGAGGAGCTGCGAGTTACGGATTAACCCCTGCGGGGACGCTGTTTCCGTATTCCTTTTTATAAAATATGAAATTTGTTTATCCGACGAGACTACTCTAGCTCATAGGGAACCACGGAATAAATTTTGGTATTGCGCGTCGCACGAAAATACTTTTACTCTATAGAAGAAAAATATATATAATATACTGTATTTATAGAAAACCTAAAGCCCCTTACAGGTTATAAAAGCGATTCCTTCGAAATAACCAATGAAGTCTTCCCTTATCCCCGGAGCGTCGTCGCCCCCTCGTGCGTCGCCCCTCGACTCGCCGGCGAACCTTCCGAACACCCCGACCCTTTGGCTGGATGTTGGATGTTGGATGTTTGTCTGAAAAGAGCGCATACAATGGTGAACACAGAGTACAAAGCCGCGGGGGAGTGCAGCGGAAAACCGAAGAAGCGGGCTTAAGGAGTGCATTAATAAAAATAAGCGAGCCGATGGGGGACGGAGCCCAGGCCTCGTGGCTCGTTCGCTTTTTATCGAGGGCCTCGCCTCTTTTTCGGCAATTTCTCGGTCTCATATCGCGTCCCGTTATGCGGGAGTATCAAAGTGGAATTCTATGTACGGTAATGAGATGCCCGTCAAAAGGCATGCAAAGGATATATGTTCCTTGGCTGGCGCGCTTTAATACCGCGCGAGGGCAAGATGGCACCCCCTTTGGTAAAGAGATAATTACTCGGACCCGGGGAAAAGGCAATTACTAGAATAATTACTTGGGCCAGAGCGAAGAGTAATTTGGTGGCTCTCGGACGCATTTTGCAAATCCTCCGAAAAACATTGCGGGGCCTGAAACCCGCGCAAGAGGCTCCCTTTAGTTAAGCCCCACGCGTAATTTCCTGCCACGAGAGGAAGACATTAAGTATGTCGAAAGCGATTTCTTATGACGCGAGTAGATGTGTACGGTGCCTCCGAACCACGGACACGAAGCTGATACTCATTTTGTGCACGGCAGCCATTTCCGTTTACTCTTCGCAAATCTACGGAACCCTTTACTGGCAATGTTTTCCTCTGCGTGGTGGATAAGTAACGAAATGAAAAATATTTACATCGACGGAGGATACCTGGAAAATCGTAATACTTCACGTACTCCTACATGCCTTATTACCTATAAACTTCACGCTTCTGTCGGCACGATAGCTGCTTCACAGCTGAAACGAGAACGGCTTTCCATCCATAGATTCATAAGAGATCGATTCCAATAACTCCATGCAGTAAACGTCAGAACGAACTTCCAGATGAACGAAACAAATATCCTGCAAGCAGAAATAAAACGCCTTTGTGATTTCGATGGTTTCGGCGCTACTTATTAAGTCTTAACGTTCAATGGCACGTGGCTTCTCATTTTACAATGCGAATTTTAACCTCTGCAGTTTTAAGCGGGACTTCCGCGAGACCGTAGATAACGTAACTTGAAGGAAAAGAATTATTAATATTAATATTGCTTTAACCTGCAAACGTATTTCTTTGGAGCAATGCTTGAGATTTTTTTAAATACTCGGAAAAGTCGGGGATTCATGTATATAAAGCTGGAATTGCCACTTTAGCACAATGCAATAAAATTTGTTGCAATATTTATTGCTAATTCGTTGCTATTTTATTGCACAAGAAACAATTTTTTTGCAGATATACTTTTCCGAAAAATGGTGGCGATGTCAGGTTTATGTAAAGCTAGCACTGCCACAATAAAAAACAATTATTAGGTAATGTTCATCGATGAATTATATACCAGAAATTATTGCTAATTAATTGCTCGCAGAAAAGCCGAATTCAAATTTTTTTGCCCACCCCTAAAGGGGTGAATCGCCATCCTTAGTACTTATCACAGGACAGAAACATGAAGAACATGGAAGAATCGAACTACTTGTTAACGTGGGAATTAATCGCTAATCCACGTAGGTTTGAAAATCGTATTTTTACGAAGATATTGGTTCTTCTTGGAGCAATTAATTAGCAATTAATTCCCACGTGAAGAAATAGTTTGATTCTCCCATGTTTTTCATGTTTCTGTCCTACGATCAGCACTAGGGGTGGCGATTCACCCCTTTAGGGGTGAGAAAAAAAAAATGTAAATTTGGTTTCTCTGCAAGCAATTAATTAGCAATAAGTTCTGGTATATAATTCATCGATGAACATTTACTTATTAATTGTTTTTTATTGTGGCAGTGTTAGCTTTATATAAAGCTGACATCACCACTAACCACCACAAAAATTTTTTTCTTGTGCAATAAAATAGCAATGAATTAGCAATGAATTTTGCAACAAATTTTATTGAATTGTGCTAAAGTGGCAATTCCAGCTTTATATACATCGGGGATTCGCATTTGAGAAATCGTAGTCAGCCTGAAAGTATTCGGCGAACGGGAAACGCGCCGATCCCTCTACTTTATCGATGTTTACAGATTTACACGGGATATTCTATAGGCGATACGTAGCCAGCAGCCATGTCTCCTCGAGGTCGTTGCAGACAAGTGCACTTGTCTGCAACTGTCACTTTCGCGGAGGAGGTCTTCGATCCAATTTTCCACGGGATTCACGCCGGGTAAAAAGAAATCCCGACGTTTTGATTCGCGCTCTACATCGCCTATCGGAATTCAAGAATTCACGAATCCCGGTTACGTTTGCTACGTGTTACATTTCCACCTCATTATCGAAAAATTCGACCCACGCGTGTAGCAGCGCATCAATCTAATTTTTTTTAATATTTCTAAAATCGCGCGTAATTCTTTATCCCATTAACACAGCAGTCCGCAATAATCCGAGGGGCTATTCGCTCTGAAATCAGTGAAAATGATTTGATCGTCTTGATTTCATACGATAAACAATGAGATTCGATAACAAATGACGTTTAATTTCCAGTGAGCTCTGCTTGCCATTTCCAGCTGATTTCCACGTGATTTCCAACATTAAAATCCATGATTTCCTGAATGAATAACCACTCGCATTAATCGGTGAATTGTCCAATTTTGCAAACGGCGAAACGTCAACTCAATTTACTCGTTACTTAAGGTGAAGTGAAACATCCTTCAAATCAGTCGATTCGAATACAACACTTTTTTTTAAGGGTATTAGACCAAACTGTCCGAAACTTTGACACATCACTCCTGATCATCTAAGAATTGTCCTGACACATTCAAAATTTGGATTTTTCAAACAAATTTTTTAACTCAGTCCAGACCAGAACCAAAATGGCGTCGAGCTCTCATATTTCGATCAATATACAATTATCGAAGGCTCTGATATGAGAATCGAAAGGGTCAGGACAATTTTACGACAATTTAGAACACTCTGGTAATCGATAAACTCGCATTTGAACGGGATAAAGGCAAAAAAAGTGTTGTATGCGCTTCTATGCTAAAACGATGGTAATACGAGGTCTCGGAGTGAAAATTTAATTGACCTGGAAATCACAGATGGCGCAGGGGGTCCCTCCGCAGTCAATTAGGGCCCCAGAAGGCATGAATCCAGAGGATTTCTGGAGTTATACTTCGATTTCTTTATAATTATTGTACGAAAACGACAGATGGAATATGCCATTTGGTACAATACACAATATAATTCGACCTAGCTGTCAATATAAAAACGAACGTCGGCAACGTAGGCATTTAGAAAAATTTTCTTTATCGACGTCGATCAAGTTCCTCGACGTGTTTCACTTCACCTTAATGCCGTGGTACTAGAAGACGATCCTAATTACGGACGAATTCTCACAAAGTGTAGGAATGTAATCCCAGAGTTCTCTTCTACCGGTTGAATTTTGTACGCTGCGTAGATATTCATTGAAAGGAAACATGGCGGTCCCTGTTTGCCAGGGTGCATGAAATATTCCATGAGCGATGCGTTGCAGGCGACCGTGTCTCTTCGAGGTCGTTGCAGACAAGTGCACTTGTCGCGCGACTGTCAGTGGAATCGCAGTGTCCCTACACGGTGGAAAAGCGAAGGGTTGGTTGGATACCGAGGGAAAAAGTTTACCTTCCGTTAAAATGCTCGAGGGCACGGAGACTTTGCATCTTGTACATTTTACATGTCGCTGCCTGACATGGACGTCGAAACGTAATTACACATTTTTAACGAGCTCGGGGCCCCCCACAAAAGCGCCGTTTGTGCGAACGGCAAATGGATTTTCGCGAATCTGGTTTGCCATTTCCAAGTGCCGGAAAATCCTCGGCTCGAAACTTACGATGCATCGGAAACGTAATCCACGGGAGAGAGGCCGAAATGTCAGGGGCGGAAAATTCTGTAGGATAATTGTCGGGAGAAAAAAGAAAAATAAGAACCGAAGCTTTGGCGAGTATTATGGCATTTCGCCGAAGGAAAGTTAGTCGAGGGACCCCGTTGTGAGGGGAAACCGATTAAAGGTCCTTCCTTCCCGTAAACCTCTCTTTCATTATGTATTTCTTGCAGGAAGAGAAGGCACCCTTTCTCGGTGGCTTCTCATCTCGAAGTTTCCCACGTTATTAGCTCCTCGTAAACGGCCGTTTTACGCGGCTAAATCTGCCGGCGAAATTGTACGCGGCCGAACCGGCATGGTCGTCGTGTTTTTCTTTCGAAGAAAATTAATTTGCCAAGACGCGGGGGTTACGGCGACGGGAGGGGTGGTTAAATTTAATACCCGAGTATATATATAGTCTTAGATCTCATCCCCGATGCACAAAGAGTCTGACTGGAGGTACCCCCGGCGTTTATCTTTGAGCACAATGCCAACACTAGAGATATAAAATAAATTCCCCTTTAATACCTGAACATTTTTAACAAATTCTTCGACCACGTAGAATTACTGAAATTGGGGAATTTCCACATGAAAAAGTAAACACCTATCCGAGATTTAAAAAAAAAGTGTAAAAATGTTTGAAAGGTACGGTACTCGTTTAACGCCACCCGAATATTTGTCCAGTTCACGTGGATTTCATAAATAATTTCTGATCGTTATTTTCAATTCACTAGGAAGTACAGAAGTGCCTCTTGTATTTTCTACCGTTAAAAAGGACAGGAATATCGTTAGCCTTTCGTTACATGCTGGTTAAATCGATGTGCGCAGATTGAATGCTTAAAAGCTTTTTCCCATTTTATAAAGAACGGACGCTTCCGTAAAGCCCCTCCACTGTTCCCGGAAAAATCCTGTAAAAATGTTTTTAATTATTTTTAAAGCCCTCAGTAGGACGCGAGATGGAGTTTCTATCGGTTCTGCTTTGTTGGGCTTCGAATCGATTGCACGGAATTCAGAAAGCAGTAAATCCGAACGACCCACGTTTTGTAGGCCGGATGCTTTTTTAAATATACATGAAGCAGGTGCATACATAAACGCATGCCACCTAGAGCATGAATAACAAATAATAATATGTCCCCTTTCAGCAGGACATTTGCATAAATTACAGAAGCTCTATTGTTATAACAATGACGTAAAAAAGGGATTTCCCTCTTTGACTATCCCGTCGAAATCTTACAACCACGTTTCTTCGTACCCATCCATTTCGTTCCGCTTTCAAAATTTCCTGCACCCTTCAGTAGAAAGGAGACCTTCAGAAAACAGTATGCAAATTTATTGATTTTATCCCCGGCTTTAGATTGACAAAAAAAAAAGTGATTAAAACCATTTCGTGGATAGACTCAACCTTCCCATTTTCCAAAACGTTTTTTTTGAGTCGTTGCCAATGCAGTCCTAGAATTCGTGTAAAAATGTGCACGGTCTCCCGTAGGTCGAGGGAGGAACGCAGTTTCCATCGGTTCTGCTTTGTCGAGCTCGGAATCGATTTCGCGGAATTCAGAAAGCAATAAATCTGATGGGGTCACGTTTTGTAGGCCGGTCCCCTTTCGTGTGCACAAGCCCCGTACTGAGGTTAACTACTGCAGGAAGAAGAACAGCGGTAATACGCGTATCCTTTAATCCGTATATTCGCACAAATTACTACGATATACGAGCTCTATTTTCTGTGCTTTCCCCCTTTCATCCAGACACCGAGACATCTAAACGGACTCTACGTCCCTCGTTATCATTACGCGGAATGCGTATCACTTCGGAGATAGTGCACGGATATCGACGCGTTTCCCTGTATAGATGTTACGGTGAAACACCGAAATCTGGAGAATGTCGACTTTCACCCTTATTTACCCTTTAATGCCCTTATTCCTGACTTACACCGGTAAATGTTGACATTCACCGGTGTGTGATTGTCGACACACACTGGAGAGGGTCCGAATGTACAACAATGTAATGAAATATTCGATCTTTCACCGACGTATTTGGTATCTGTTGACA